GAGTTCTGGAGTTTATAGTTCTACTAGCGACTCACCCTCGCTTCGCTCAGGCCCGTCCCTAGCTTGCTTCCCAATACAAACTTTCGTCCCCGTTTTCACCCCCTTATGAGATGATTTCCGGGATAAAAAGTATCCAATGTCCTTCCCTGGGTCTCAAACTATCTTTTTACCAAATTTCATCGAAATCGGTTCAGTAGATCCAGAGATTACCCTTACAACCTCACAATGTTACCTATTTATAATATTAGTGTAGATATGCAAGTTCACAATGAAAATAAAGTCAATCTACCGATCGCCCTGAACACGACGAGAAAATCGCATTTTTTACTAATAAATAGAATACGATTTCAAGCGTCAAAAAATGTGTTATTACCTCTTATCAAGTCTATGCTTGTTTTTAGTGATTCGTAAAATAAATTACACTATAGTACCTACTGTAGACATCATTCGACACTTCAAATATTACATATTAATATTTATATTATTGTGCAAACTTAAAACACGCGAGTTAAAAACTGAAATTAACCTTCATCAGCATTTTGAGTTCGATTAATGTATGAAGCCGCATAAAATTCGGCGAAATATGTCGATGGTACATTTTATAGACATTCGGCTGTAGTTTACCGACCGGTAATGTCGACTCATTAGCGCTGGGGGGCGCCTGTGGCCAGGTAGGCTCTTTGTTATTTATATACAACAAGGAACAATGTCCGCCGATCTCTTATTAATCATCTCTGTATTCCCAACCGACCGTCATTCTTCAGACTATTCTTAATAGTTGCTTATATCAAATTTTCTCAACCGTGTAAAAAGTAGTAAGTATGTGATGGGCGCTTTGCAAGCATCGTAAAACATGATATGTTTTATCGGGCGCTAATTTTATTAATACACTCACTTGTGGCTGTAAAGTGTATATTTTACTTACTTTATTTAATCAAAAAATATTTATTTTTTTATATTAAATGTATGAAAGCAATACTTAAAGCTATCAAAGTTGATTTTTGTCTTTAAATTGAATAGTTAGAGTTCGCGTACAGTTACTGTGTTAACTGAGGCTTTATGAGGTTTACAAGGCGTTGGAGTCGTGGTAAAAGAATGGGCCCTCACAGCGGTAGACGTATGAAATATAGTGTTTAACACCACGCGGCTTGTTCGGACGGCGTCCCGTGGTGAGGACTGTCCGGAACGGCTCTGAGGCGTCGTCACCCTCAGACTAAGCCCGAGTCTGCCTTCTAATCCTGTACTTATCAAATACAGGGAAATCATAAAACTGCTCCTATTTTTGTTGCATGTTGTAACAAGTTTTAGTAAGCCGTGTTGACGATCGTGTAAAATTCGCAACTACTATCATAAAATTTGTATTCAACTTGTATCAATGTATTGGAAGCAAGCAGTGAACAGAATAAAATGAAAACGTCTTTCGTTCCTCGATTTACTAAATTTCGATACTAATAATTATACGTTAGAAAACATAAACATTTTGTACATAAATACGTTAGATTAAAGGTTATGAAGGTATTATCATAAAAAAATAATCACTCACAATTTACTGTTTACATGCTCTTGTTGCTTTTGAAACGGCGATTAAGTAATTATTGTAATAAGTTGGAACAAAATGTAACGGAACATGCCGATTTTAAGCGGCTATAATTATAGAATAGACATAAGCCATATAGAAAATCTTGATCAAGGCTACTGTGTTGTAACATGTTACCGTTTTATATGTAAAATATTAAACTCAATGATATTTTAGCACACGCAACAAATAAAAAATAGTAATAAAATTTTATCTGAGCCTCTAAAGTATATGGCCATGATATATTAATTCAAACGTGTATTTCTCATACTCTGAGTATATTTTAACTATAACAAGTACCTACAAAGATAATAAGCGATAGTGGACACTATAAAATTTATATTTTTCTTGCGAATTATATATACATACATACCTACATGTTTTTAATACATAATTTAATTAGTAGGTACCTACTTGAGGTCTTAATTTTTTTAAATGACTATGTATAGCAAACTAATATTCCATTAGAACTTCTTGATAAATAGTAACCCAGGTAGGTATATACATATGTATATAAAACACTATATTTAAAAATTACACAGCCCATACATAGACTTAATCACAAATCACAATATACCGACATGGTAGTAGTGATGTGATAGTGACACCTCACTGCCGCAACTCAGAAATAAAAATGTACATATACATAGGTATAGAAAAGTAGGTAAGTACTGTAAAACATAAAAAATATATCTCTCTAACTATTATCTAATAAATCGGCTCAGCTGATTCAGCGACAAAGAGTAAAAGACATACAGAATTACTTTGGCATTTATAATATTAGAAATTAGAATGGATACATCATTAAAGTTATAATCGTTTGTAAACATTGTTTATTGTAAAATAAGGTTAGTTACTAGGTACATAAGTAACCAGTTCGCCGGTCGTGGCCCTATAAGCAGTAAATCATGTACAACCAGTAAACAGTAGCTGTTAATAAAATTAAGTTTATGCAAGAAATTGTGCAGCTTTAATGGCTTCGAAGTTATGGCCAAACCTATATAAAATTAGTAGGTATAAAATTACACTATTTGCACATAACAATAAAAGTTACATGATATTATCTGATTAATTATAAAAAAAAATCTTATGTTATTTATTAAATGTTTGTACTAAATTAGAATAGGTATACTAAGGAAACTATCTTTTCAGATTTTTGCACGGATGTATTTTGATTTTTTGGTTCTCGACGTTTTGAATGCTTTACAGCAATCATCATCAAGAGAGCGACTCTCGAAAATATATGTAGTTTTATTTAATATGTCATATTCGCGTAAATCTAAGAAATTATTACTATATACTGTTGAAAATCGTGTGTTTTTGTATGAAAGATGGGGAAAAAGGCCTTTTAGAGCAGTTAATAACTAAAAAAGTATTCTATAATCTCTCTAATTACTCTATCCATAACAAGTCTATCTTTAAACAAGAATAGAAGTAGATATTAAATTATCAATCGTATCAATAAATATGCAGCGCGAAATAGGGTAGGTGTCTAACCGATTGTGAATGTGTTGTGCCAAGCGTGCGTAGGCGCAGGCGGCGTGATCAAACACCCAGCAGGACTTGATAGAGCTTTGTTTCCTATATATATTTTTTTATTGCTTTGTTACGAATATACCCTTGGTCTAGGATTGCATGATTTTAACAATTAAATAGCATAACCATTTTAATAGATCAAGGATTTTCTAAAGTTATAGATACACACTGTTAATGGTTTTTGAAGTAAAAAATATTCATATATACACGTTTTTTACTTTATAGGAAAAAAATAGGTTACAGTTACAATTTACTTGTAGATATTTAGAACTGTGTAATTTACTATTGTAACGGATAAGTTAAAGAAAAACAAATTGTATTTTAATGTGTGTGAAATAATGTATTTATCGACGAATTCGCAGTATCATTTCACACTTGTTGTTGTTGATTAAATGAAATGATGAGGCACTGAAATCCTTGAGACGTTTTTTTACATTTTAAATTGTTTTAAAAGTTTAAAGATTAATTGTATTTTATTAGGTGTTTTTATACCAAAGATAAAAAAATAGTTCAATCCCTAAGTGCTTAAAAAGAAGAGTCAGAATATAGAATGGATTGATACGCAATTATATCCAGAAAAGCGAATGGATCTACAAACATATAAAAAATTGATTTTTTTTGTGCAATCTGCTCCTTTTAGATTGTCTATTACTGAAAATCTGTAAAAAACAAAATAAAATTAAAATTGAGAGAATTTCAATAAATCTTATAATATTTATCAATAAAATATGTCAGTCTAAATTCCATACTAGAAACCATACCAATGCCATTGTCAGGTATCTTGAACTGTGTCACTCTGAGCCGTATCTAATGTAATGGCAGGTGTACACGTGAGCACGTGAGGCACAGCGTTATAGATTAGTTTCGCGACGGCACGAGCAACGCACCATGACTTCTGAACGACCGTCTGGACATGATCCTAACATTCTGTTACACTATAATGTGGATATATGCATATCCATTTGTCTAGATACAAATTATTTAGACATATGTATACGATTTAAATAGTCGTATTTTTAGTCAGGTTTATCAAAAGGCTAGACATTTAAAAGTTTTTTAAAACGTGACATGTTTCACATACATAAACGTTTAAAGGACTTTTAAAGTTTTTTTTTGATTCTTTGGACTTTATTACATTAGGGTTTATCATAATCAAAATTTGTCATCATGAGTTCATATAAATCTTAATAATATTATAAACGCGAAAGTTTGAATGGGTAGCTGATTATTACTTAATCACGCCAAAACGGCTGAACAGATCAAATTGTGTCACATAAAATTTGACACAATGATAGATTAAAGTCAAGTGGAATAGCACATAGGTTACGTTTTATTTCGGAAAAATGTACGGTTCCCATGGAAAAGATTTGTTTTTTCAAAGAGCAAGAGAATCATTATCTATTCAATACTAACCGTTAAAACGCACCTAGGGACGGACCGAGCGAAGCGAGGGTGAATCGCTAGTAGTTTTAACTTTAAATGCTAAACAATTGCCAATAAATTGTAATTTTCTTGTCTAAAACCTGCAATTATTCGCATTTTACACGTCTAATTAAGCTTTCTATAAATTAGCCTGAACAAGGTTATAAATTAAGACATGCTAGATGCATGAATTAAAATATGTCTACGGTTCGCGTGTGTAGTCGTTATTAGATACATAGGTAGTAGGTACATACCTATATCCTACTTACTAACTTAGAGGTAGAAATTCCAAGTATAGGATATAATATGTACCTACTCTAGAAATTAATAAGTGGAAAAGAAAATCTTAAACGTATTTGATAAAAATTGATTAAACTTGGATTGGATAAAATTAAAACAATGTTTTTTATTGAATTTATATAAAACACAATTTATTAGTTTTACTAAGAGCATTGTTTATCTGCAGGTGTGGTTTCAAAACAAAAGATCAAAAGAGCGTCGTCTAAAGCAACTGACGTCGATGGGTAGAGGGCCTTTTTTCGGGTCCTCTCGTAAGATGCGAGGGTTCCCCATGAACCTGTCACCAGGAGGGCTCGAGGAAGGGCCGCCGGGGTTCCCATACTTCGCGACAGCAGATGGCAAGTTCGAGTTTGGCTATGGCCCGCCGTTCCACCATGATGCCCCATTCTTCCATCCTCCGCCTTCGATGCCATTTAATCAGCCAGGTTAGTAAAGTTGTTCGACGACCCTACGACGTATGAATTATAATGCTTGCTTTATGTCTGAGATTGTAATTTTTATTCTGGAGTGATACAAATATTTTGAACTTTGTTGTTTTTAATGTGTGACATTAAAACTTTTGCATATACATTGGGGGGCATGGCAGTGCCCCCGCCGAGTGTATATACAATGTACATATTGTAGGTTGTTATACCTACTTATAATAAAAATTAATTGCTGATTTTCTTGAATTCTGAATATTAAGAATATTATATATATTTTTTAAAAGTATTGACTTAAACTTTTGGATATTATTTAAATAAGTTACTTCACATAATGTACCAGGCGTTTAACGGGAGCAGGTCGTTTCGCAGGCGGTATGGAGACGTTGCAGGGCGGGGAGTTCCCCGAGCAATTCCAGCCACCGGATCATCTAGTACTTCCCCGGCCTTCATCTCCCGAATTCACTTTCGGGGACGCCCCGCCTCCCCTCCATCCCGAGGGGCTGGTGTGGTAGCTGAAGCCGGAGCCGCGAGACTACCACGACTGATGCGGCTCGTCGGGCTTTTAAGTGGACTGAGTGATTTACATTTAAAACGAAGTGACGTTAATGGCTGCTAATAAGCGGCTAGTGTTTTTTTTTAAAACAGTGGGTATTTTTAATAAACTTTAGTAGCATATTCGTATATATGTGCAAAAGATTTTATTCAGCATTAGTGTTTTATGTCATTTATTTGCAATTTACAAGGCATATATTGTTTTGTTATTTAACATTTGCTTTGTGCTTTGTTACTTAGCTTCATATTCCTCACGGTTAAGTTAAACTTATTATACTTTCAGTAGTTGTTTAGCTTAGGTAATATATTCCAGTATTTAAAACCTTTTACTTGCGATTGTGATTATATGAATGTGAATACTGTACAGAAAAGAATTTTATATTATAAAATGATATTAAGTTAAATAATATTAATTTATTTACAGTTAGATTTAAAAAATAAGCGATATTTTTGGTTCCTATATTAAGGGTTACGCATTTTTAATTTTTGTGTATTTATTAATTTCTTAATAGCTAAGTACAATCGATTAGACACTAACTGGGTACATATATAAAGAAATTGTCGTTTGTAAATATTTTATGTATATAATAGCTGGGCAAGTGTTTAATACATTATAATGTACTTAAGTGATTTAAATGTACCATAGGTATATGCACGATAATTGTTTCACACGAATAACTTACATAAATATCCTACTAAGCTTAATTTTCTTTTAATTTTTACATATTTATAAATGGTGTAGAATATAAAAATTCACAAGTAATGTGTCAAAATAGTGTGGAATCAGATATTTTGGATGTAAATTAAATTGTATATTTCATTTGAATTTTATTTTATTGTATAAATTGTAACATATTATGTATATTCATAATATTTTGATCGCATTTCTGTAATTAAGGAAACATTACGTTTAATGTCTACTTCATATCGTGTTTTGGTTCACGACTTCTTTATCTGTAATTAAAATGTAGATAATAAATACATTAAAAAGAAAATTGACTTTTAAAGTGACATGTTTTAGGTTTGTTACTTTACCTAAAAGAAATTAATTAACTTTATTATATACGTTTAATTATTCTCAACATATTCTTATCAGTGAGGATTAGAAAATACTTAAGGTTTCTCAGCCTTTATCCATATCCATTTACTTTAATAGTACATTTAATATTATGGCAATAAGAAAACAATAAAATCCATGTTGCCTACATCTTTGTTCTTAAACTTAATCTGCAACATTTTTCTACAGCAAGCTTTTCTTGTGTTTCCCAATAAAAAAAAACTAATTCCACTAGACGGTGTTGAAAATCGATTAGCTCATTGATGACCAGTAAATAATCTGTAGCAAATGAACTATCAACAGAGTTCTAATGCTTTAGTAATTTTGTTTTTTTACCTTAAATTCGACATCATGAATTATATAAAAAAACGTACTTGTGCAAATAAGGAAATATACCTTAAGTTAATTTAGCCAAGTCAAGACTATTAATAAAAAAATTTTATTAAACTATTTGAGCTATTTTATCTAACAATTGTTGATATTTTTTTTATTATATTGATTTCGAATTGAACCAAAACACTGTGGAAATAAAACAGGATCACTTATTAGGTATGTACTTTAATCTAAGTGTTAATATTCAGTACATACTGGTCTATCTGTGCTTAGATAAATAAAAATATAATGGAATTGTCTGTAAGAATAAACTCTATTCGATAAATCTATATAATGCTCTTATTTAACCCTACCTAACGAACATTAAAGAAGTATATTATAAAAGAGATAATAAGAATATGAGGTTACTTTAACCTCGACCTGACCTTAACTAAAACACTGTAGGCACAAATATATACACACACATCCTTTTTATATTTATACATTTTTGATTAAGACCTTTATTTTATAAATAACGTTTGGTATAGATTTGAATAAAAAACAAAAAAGTAGTGACATTAAAAGGCGTACAATTATATGCATGATATTTATTTCTGTTTTGAATAAAATAGATTTTAATAATCAAATATTTTAAATAATAAATATATACATATTAAAACATAGTATAAGATTGCCTAAAAATGTGGTAGTACTGGAGGAATAAAGGGCTAAAATTTTGGACAGTCACATTCTATCACGACGTAGACAGCTCTACTTAAATAAGTAAAAAGGTATGTATAAGCTTGTATAAGAAGCAATATTTTGTAGGTAATAAAAAAAGGTAACACCGCAACACTTGATCTTGGCGCTAGTTAATTATAGGCTATTTGTCTTATAATAAAGTTGAGTTTTACTTTTCGGTTGAGTACCTAGAGCTCTACATACGATGCCATATCATATTATATGTAAAGCGAGTGTCAGTATATTGATCTAATACATATATGCCTATTGTGAACGTGAAACCGCTAGATTCTTTGAACTGTTAGTAGCTTTGCAGAGAAACAAAAACAAAATTTCTAAACAAATAACCTTTTTAAAGTCCATTAAATATTTTGGGCTTTTTGGAAGTACATCTGTCATCTGTGTCTGAAAAGATGCGAGATGTGACATTTTGTATTCTAGTAGAACTCGTAATTAGTTGAATTTCAAAATATATGTCTTTAAAGAAAGACCGTTTGTGACCCCCATGAACATTTTACTCTCTAATACTTCGCGAGACGTTCCTTGTAGTCTGGTCAAAATAGACATTACATTTTAGAATTAATCGCAGGACTCAGACATGCAGGTTTCTCTTAGATGTTTTATTTCACCGTGTCAGACAAATGGCAATCATGTTGGAAATGATTCGCACATGAAAATAACAGAGATGCGGAACCCGGGATTTAAGCAGGCTTTACTTAGCGTTACCTCTGGGCTACAACTGCCTATCCAGGAGCTCTACTATTGTACACAAAATTTAAAAACATGTTATATTTATAAGGCTGATGTACACAACTGTTCGGTTAATAGTCACATTATTGAGTGACAATCTTTTTTGTCCTTTTCTCTTAATTATAATGCCTTTAGAACAAAAAACAAATTACTTTATAGGCTAACGTCTTCAGTAATGCAGTGTAAGTATTTGTAATCTAACTTCGTTGGTCTTGCATCTGACTTGTACGGCTGGTAATCACAAGCTCCTAGGTTCGAGTCTCGGGTCGAGCGAAAAATCTTCAATAACAGCTTTGAGTTGGGCAGTATCAATAATAGTATGATAGTATTATATCTCGAGACTCTCAGGTCATCTAAAAACGTTGGTCTTGATAGCTTGATAGCTCTGTGCCATTTCATGGGAGTATTAAGGAATAAATAGAGCACTTGAATTAGCAGCACACACTTAATATATTAAGAATATCTCCCTCATAGAAATTTTTTTTTTTGTAAAATCGGCCATCGTTGATACATTTTAATTTTTAATTAAAATCTACGAGTACAATTTTGTTTATTATAAGCCTGATTTCGTATACCTATGTCATTGTAATTATTATTGACGTTTATGTAGATAAGATTTTAGCTCGTAATAATGAAAATGTCTTGTAATTGAAAACTTAATTATGCTTTACTATATTAATATTAGGAGTTCAATTTTAGTTAGAATACTTAACCGACATATATTATATTGCAGGCCAATGCAAACAAACATTATGTCAATTACACGATAAAAATAAGAACAAAACAAAACTTTTCGCAAAACAAATTAATTCGAAAATTCCAAACAAAAATTTTGTCTAAATTGATCAAACTTTAAAGTAGATACCAAGAACGGTAACATAAAAATCCTCAAAGTATACACTACGTACCTAATTGGATTTTTTTACAAATGTCAAAATTCCATACAATTCCACCAAAACTCATCATCATTAAACAAACAGACGTTATCTCGTAATAATATTCTTTGTTCTACCACCAAAGCTACCCTCGACCATAAAGGGAAATTGGATCGTAGGGCACGACTCCATGTGGCAGTTCGCACGCTTGAATTAACCGTTCGCTGCCTTGTAATTGGAAATGGTGTTTGCTTATGTATGTATATAGGTACAGTTTTATATACATATATACGTAGTATATAATATAACTATAGTTATTACATGTATAATATAATAAAGCATAGTAGGTATAGAAATATAGTTTATTTATTTATTTAATTAGGATCACCAACATGAAATACAGTAAGTAACTTAACAAAAATACATAATTGTACAAAGAAGGTCAAAATCTAACAGTTATCATACTTATAGGTAACCACGACAAGTATAAACAGTTACCTACATTTAACAACAGGTTAAAAATTAAAAATTAACAGCACTATAAATTAAAAAAAAATAATTAAAGACACTATTATAATTAGGAAGAAAAAAAGCAATAGATATTCTCATGAGAAAAAACGTATTAGCAATACAATAAGTACAAGTTAAAAACTATCATCATAAGGAACTCTTAAGCAGTTTAATATCAGAGACTTCAATTTTTCAATTTTATGAGAAAACTAGCAGAACCCGCGGCTTCGCTCGCGCTTAAACTACAAAAAAATCTCTAAAAAACCTTTTTTAGAGATTTTTTTGTAGTTTCATACAAACTTTCTGTTTCCTATTTTAACCTCTTATAGGATGAATTTCGAAAAATACTAAAACATGTATTTATTTAATTTTATTTAAGAGCATCAATACCAAGTTTCAAGTAGGTAATTCTGTTCATAAATATTTTTTTGGATTGTTTGAAAACATGTTTTCCCGTGGGAATTAGATTATCTCCCGCGGTAAATAGTATGCTATGCCACTCTCCAGCCTTCCAACTATCTTCACACAAAAAATCACGACAATCCGTCACTTCGTTTTGACGTCAAAGAAGGACAGACAAACAAACAAAGACACAAACACACTTTCACATTTATAATATTTTGTATGGATATGTCGATATCCGAGTTTCTGTGTAAGAGGTTATATTGTTTTAATATTCTATTTATAGGAGAATAAAGGTCCAAGTTTGATT